AGAATAAAAAGCTATTCAAATAATTGGTTTGGCTTTTGCTCATCAGAGTGCAAGTAACGCTCTATCCTCTTCTGAGTAAAAGCTGATTAAAAAAAATTGCAAAAACCCACTTCTAGATTGAAAAAGAGCTTAGAGATGTTTAAATACAAAGATCCACTGGGGGGGGGAGCTTAAGCCCCTCTGCATTATAAAGAGGGTTCACTGTCTTTTCAGCTCAGCTTGTGTTGTTGTGGGTGTCTGGTTTCCATCCCTGGGCAGGGCATGTACGCCTTTAACACCTCCGGGGCTGCCAAGCTAAATGGTACCCCAGGCCCCTTTGATGGTCCCCAGTGGCCCCACCTGGTGCCCAGAAGCATCTACATGTCAGTCGCTGTGTTTATGGGCATGGTGGTGATTTCTGCCTCCTTTGTGAATGGGCTAGTTATAATGGTTTCCGTAAGGTACAAGAAGCTCAGGACTCCTCTGAACTACATCCTAGTGAACCTGGCGGTGGCCAACCTCCTAGTGACACTGTTTGGAAGCACTGTCGGCTTCTCCAGCAACATCAATGGCTTCTTCATGCTTGGCAAAAAGTTTAGCGAGTTCGAAGGCTTCCTGGTCTCCTTAACAGGTAAGAATGTTTCCCTGAAGAGCTCAGCTGGCTGCTCTCAGACCACACTCTACCTTCTGCCATATGCCTCCTCTAACTCCACAGTCCATAGCCACAGGCTTTAAGACCCCACTCCATAGCTAGAACCATGGCACATCTATGGCCTGGGCTACCAAATGGCTCCTTGAGTCTTCCCAAGCCACAGAATAAAGCCAGGGCTTTTATTCACACTGTGAAATTATAAGTCCTCTCCTTACAGCAGAGGATAGCGAGAAGGGACATCTGAGAATGTTCCCAGCCTTGGGCTGCACTTGAACAGGAATGGCAGAGTCATTTATTACAACCCCATACATTGGTGTCTTGCTGTTTACAATTGCTAATAGTGGACACCTCCCAGCGGAGGTGCTGGAGGAGTCAGAAATCCAGGTTTTGGTGATAGTATCAGTACAAAAATGGCTAGACAAGCTCCCGCGTGTGGCAGCTGTGATCAGCAGAGAGGGTTTTTCAGGTCAGCAATGGTGTTGGTACAGGAGTGGGGAGCATCAAAACACAGGCGGTGGGGGCAGAAGGGCAGAGTGCTCAGCTGCCATTCCATTGTCTGGTTTTATGCCATTAAAAATATTTCTGTGACTGTAGGTAACAGTGCACAAAGCCTAATGACATTAGGCAATGCTCCAAGGAGAGGAAAATGCAATTTCGATCCTCTTCCTGCATTTTCTGAATCAATAATGTTCATACAATATCATGTACAGTACACTTAGGGTAGTTGCACTCCAATTAGAAACCTGAAAACTGCCCTATTAAATGGAAATTGTCCTGAGAACTATGTGGTAGCTATTTGGCCAAGTCTAAATTAATGCATGGAAAGTTTAATAAACCAGAAATACTTGGGGCTCATAGGAACAGTCACAGCACAAGCAGACTTAGACCGTGACATCACGGATGCTTTTCACCTTGGTGGTTTTGCCTATTTGCTTGAAATTTCTATTTACAACATCTGCAAAACAGCTGCCTGCAGAATGATTCACTCGATACAACTCTCATTAGGCAGACAGAGTAGCCCAGCTTAGGAAAGTCTGGTGTTTTAGGTCCAGCAGCTAGGGCAAGGAGTCTGCTTCCGCATTCAATAGTACAGCCATTCAAAATGCCACCCCCAAGATATGTCTCAGTGGTCTCTCACAGGTATCATGGGGCTCTGGTCCCTGGCAATCCTGGCCTTTGAAAGATATATCATGATTTGCAAACCCATTGGAGATTTCAGATTTCAGCAAAAACATGCACTGATGGGCTGTGCCTTCACTTGGATTTGGTCACTTCTCTGGACAGTCCCACCAATCCTTGGCTGGAGCAGCTACGTACCTGAAGGTATGGGAGATGCATCCTTAGCAGCATTCAAGCCTGCAGCTTCCTTGTGCTGGGATGTAAGATTTCAAGACTGTTTTTCCACGAGGCAGCATTAGGTCTTTGCTCATTAATGTCTCGCTCAGAGATCATGCTCTAGAAGTTTGCTGCTTCACAGTGAATATATTTTCTTGTGCGCAGGCTTAATAGCCAATTTGAGTTATGGAGCAGCAGAGCGCTCTCCTGAATGCAGTCACCGGGCACGTCTACACAACATGATTACTGCACAGTGGCCTAATAACACCGCGCAGGCACATGCTAGGCAGAAACTGTGCTAACACTCTACTGCACAGTGTTATTAGGTTAATCCTAAGTGTCAAAATAAAAAACATGCACCAATGCTACTGCGCAGTAGCACAAGTTACTGCACATTGAATTAGTACTTGGTTAACCCAGGACTAAATGCGGAGTAACTATGGCGCATTAATGAATGTGTAGACATGCCCATGATGTCTTCACTGGCCTCGTATCTTGGTTGAAACCCACAGCAAACCTAACCAAAACCTGTTCATTTAGAAATGTCATGTAACTTTATCAATATGCTTCCTCATAGTATAGATTAGGAATGATTCTGCCAGGCAGAATTCATAATGGATGATACCACCATCGTTGTTCTTGTGATCTGGCTGGACTCTGGAGCGCTCCTTATGTAAACTGGCCCAGGTCAGTAGGAACAGCACACGGTATTTGCTGTTCTTGACTCTGCTACGGCAGGATTATCCCAGCATTGCTTCAAAACGTGCTTTTCCAGGTCTGAGAACCTCCTGCGGTCCCAACTGGTAGGCTGGCAGCAGCAACAACAATAGCTACATCATGGCCTTGTTTGTTACCTGCTTTGTGCTGCCTCTCAGTATGATCTTCTTCTCCTACACCAATCTGCTGGTGATGCTACGAGCCGTAAGTAAAAAGAGATTTCAGCAGCGCCAGTCAGCTCACCCAGAGCAGCTCCAGTCTGAAATACCACACAAGCATGCAGAGAAGGCAGCACTCCTGAGACATCTCCAGTTAGATTCTCTCTCATGTCAAGCTACAACTGTTCTCCATCATGGAGTTTGGAACTAAATTCACTCCACAAGGCTGCATTTGAGTCTGTGATCATATGATGCAGGCTAATGCCTGATTTGCATAGGCTGGCTTCCACATTTGCACCCTCAGTGATTTGTGGCTGCAGCCTCATTCCTTTAAGGATGCGCAGGTTGGATCTGCAGCAGCTGCCAAGCGTGTTGACACCTCTCAGTGCCGTTGCCTGCTCCTGCAGTTCTTGTCATTCACAAAGCCACAGGACTATTTGTATCTCCATGGCAATTCAGTCCTGAACTTCTTGGCTGAGGCTCCCCACAAGGGTGTCCATGTTCATGGCACTTGGTGTGACAGGAGCATAGGGTGATCACACAGTGTCAGCCAGGCCCCTGACCAGAAAGGGAGGGCAAGGCAGCCAGCAAATGGTGTAGCTGCACACTCCTGGCTCATCCAGCAAGCTCTTCCCTCATTGCAGGCCACTTTCTCAGACTGCATTAAAATATCTGTGCTGCAGTGGCCTGCTGAATAGATTCTTTCCCTTACATTGCCTGTAGGTTGCAGCACAACAGAAAGGATCTACAACAACTCAGCAAACAGAGCGGAAGGTGACGCAGATGGTGACTGCTATGGTGCTGGCCTTTCTCACCAGCTGGCTGCCCTATGCCACCTTTGCTATGGTGGTTGCCACAAACAAAGACATCCCCATCCAGCCAGCTTTAGCATCGCTCCCTTCCTACTTCTCCAAAACAGCCACAGTTTACAATCCAGTCATCTATGTCTTCATGAACAAGCAGGTGAGACACTGAAGTTATCCATGGGATGGAAAACAAGCTTCCTTGAAGTAGAGGCTTATAGGAATACAATGGAATAGCACTCCTGGGGTTATCCAATATCAGGGGCCGGATCCCACTTAGCTTCCATTAAGAACTAGCAAGACCACAGAGAGAGAGAGATGGAGCCCGATTTTCTGCCGGGTTCTAAACACCTGCAAGTGCAATGCCGGGGAAGAAGCGGGAGAGGGGCAAGGGACTTAATTTTAGACCAAAGCCTGCTTGATTGAGCCTGTGAAATAGAGCCCAGCTGTACAACAAAGATGGCTAATGCCTGGAAAGAACAGGACTAGCCATTAACAAGATCAGTCTGCCCCAAAAACTATTTGCCTTCCCCAATGGGTAAAGTATTGTCTGTACAGGCCCCTGCCCTGGAAAGCTGAATGCCTAAATCACAGTGAAGATCTGTGCCACAAGTGACTGAGCAGGGTGTTTCTCTTGTAGAAGCACCAGCAGCCCAGACTGTAAAGTTCACCTGGTGCAGTAGTTTAGCACAAAGGACTCTCGCACCTAGGCTCTTCTCTGATGTGCTCACTTCTCTGATAACACGTGCTTTCCCCAATTAGTTCTGGAGCTGCCTGTTGAAAATGATGTGCTGCGGTTGCATCCCAGTAGGGGTGGAAGACAACCCTCCAGCTCTGCCAAGCCCTTGTGTTAGAGTCATTTCAGCCTCAGAGGGGTGTGGAAATAAGGTGACACCTTCGTAATCAGCCTACGTGCGCCAACTCCTGCATGGAAGTACAGCTGCAGGCTCCACACATCCAGTCCCAGTTGCATGTGATGCAGACATGAGGAGTGAAGTTGCTGGCTGGTTCTCGATAGCCTGTATCCAGGGCCCATGCATACACCAGATATTAGAAAGCAATTTCCTTTAAAGGCTTCCAGCAATATTCTCCGTTTCGTGTCCTACTTCTGAAAATGTAGACTGAAAAATGACACAAACTGTCTCCTCCAGGGGCAGGAAAGCAACTACAGAGAGGAAAATATCAGGGAGGGGAAAGTTTGATCTCCTAATGGAAGCAGCCCCCTCCTCTCCACCTCCTCACCCTGCTTTGTTGGGACCAGGAACTAACTGTACCAGTATTAGGTCTAGACTTAACTTACTCTGAATGCTTATTTCAGTGGCAAATAGCAGGCATTTGTTCTGGCTGTGTAGATGAACCAGTACTTAGGTTGCTCAAGGCTCTTGTGTAATTTTACAGCAGGCGGTAAAAGTGATGAAAAATTAAAGAGGTGAGTTCAACTACAGCCCAGGCTAATAAACATCCAAGCATTGAAACACAGGTGTCTCCTTGTCACAAGCAGTCTATTATCAGATCTGTGCTACTCCCTTTCAGGCAGCAAGGTCTGACCTGTGAGAAAAACTGAGGTTTCTTGTCTTGGGGAAAAAAGCCTATGCTCACAGAGATGAGCAGGATCAATACAGAAAAACAAGAATCCTCCAGACCAGCAGATTTATATTTTATTTATAGCCAAGGCAATAAGGAAAGGCTGTGCATGCAGTGATTCTCTAATAAAGGTGAAACAAAAGCTGCAAAGGGTCCTGTGGCACATAACAAAAAGATACACTAAAGTCTCTGGGGTCATAAAAGCAGAGGCATTATCAGGAAGTAGATGCAGAATGCCCCTAAGGAAAGTCTCCGGTGCCACTACAGCTACGCTGCTCCTGGAACCTAGACCAGCCTAAAATAGCCCAAGTGCAGCTACACGAGCTGCAGTCACACCTCTGATTTGCAGTGTTGACATTCTCCCAGTAAATCCCTTTGACTACAGGAGATTTTTAAATGCCAGATTGAAGATGCATGTAGATGCCTATGGGGCTCCCAAAGCACCTAGGCTCTAACTCCTATCATCTGGGAACCCCGTTAGTGCTTATCTGCATTTTTAAGCATCATGTTACCTTTGAAAATCCAGCCCACATGATTTAGTCACCATGGAAAACGAGATAGCGCTTCCTCCTCCCCACAGGCATGAACAGCATTCTCTGTATGCTGTGTTTTTCCCCATTTTGCCTGATCACAAAATGTTTCCACTGGCCTTCCCTTGGATGTCAGGATGCCTGTAAAGGAGCAGGGGGGAAGCACTATTTATAAGGTACTCACCTCAACACATGGCTTCTACCCGTTCCCACCTTCCACAATCTGCTGTCATTAAGCGACTACCGGGGGAATTGATGAGTGGCCCTGGAGGTGCAGATATTAAGAGTTGGGGGTTGTTTTCTTCCTTGCCCCTAAGCACAGAAGCGTATTTCCCTGGGGTGACATCTGATAATGAATGCTGACCATGCAGGAGGTAATCCATAAGGAATGCTTTTGAGGCATGCACAGCCAAGCAGCGATGAGCTGAGCGTGGCAGCATTTGAATACACAGAGCCTCGTTGGGGCCACTTCATGGACCACTTGCTTTTTCTTGCCTGGTTCCCTTATAGGTGACTCCAACTGCCCCAGGCCTCATTTCATTAAAGGTTTCTTGTAACACAATGAAGCACATCCCTGCCATGCCAAGCCTCCCTCTTCATGTAGGCAACACTGGAAAACAAATTGTACAGGTCAGGAGAACTGTATCTGTCACACCATGGGCTTGTTCTTTCAGGACTGACAAGGACATCACCCAGCAGTCGAGTGTCTTAAAAGCAGCCTCTATGAAGCAACAGTGAGGGGACTGCCTAAGTGTCAAAAACCTCCACCCAGGTCAAAGGAGAAAGGAGAATGAATCAAAGAAGTGGCATTTTCAGAAGGAAACACTTTTCCCCCCCCCCATCAGGGAAATCACCTGGCTGCTCTGATCACAGTAAGTGCAGGAACCTACCCTCTGGCCCACTCCGGTCTGGTACTTTGGACCACCGCAAGTGGAAGTTGCAGAGCTGCTGGTAAGTTGGAAAGCAAAGCCTGCCACGCTCCTTAAAATGCAGGAAATGAGAATTATTTCCTATTACACTGCTGGAACCAAACAGTTATTAGGGCTGTGAGCACTCTGGGGCGAGGACTGTCTGTCGGTATGCATTCAGTCTCAGCAGGGATCTGCAGATGCCACTGTAATAACAACGTCTTGTTTTAGGCAATAGCAGAGATAGGGAAGGAGTTAGCATTTCCCACTCCAGTCGGTTTACATGTGCACCTGGACTCCCTGTTGCTTGATAATAACTGATAAGAGAGCGCACAGCATTGACAAGCCCAGGCTGAACATGATTATGCAACAGGAGTAATCTAGAATCAATTAATTATGGTGTGATACAGCTTTCATTCTAAGCAGCTCCACCATCCCAAAATGCCACCAGCCACTTTCTCTCCCACGAATACATTTTCTCTGCTTTTATTTACAACTATTGAACTTTAATTAAAATGCATTATTGCTAATTGAGAAAGATTTAAAATTAGAGGATGGAAAAGGCAAAAGTTGTTAAGTCAAGTAAGAGCTGCTGCCAAAAAACTGTAAACTTTGAAACCGTGTTTTAAGTTAAATGAAAGGATGGAAGCAAAAGTAACTTAAAGCCACATCTCCCCATCAGCATGACGCATTCTAGCTGCAAGATCAACAGCAGCTGTTTATTAGCCCTCACGTGAACAGCCTTGGCTGCTGCCTGTTGCGATAACTGATTTAGGTGCAACACTGCCTGGAGAGCATGCACTTAGCCTGCAAGCTCTTTGGAGCAAGGATTTGTTTTGTTCTGTGTCTATGTAGAGCCTAGCAAGATAGGGTTTGAGATCACGACTGGGCCTCACTGTTTGGATGTGCTCTTCCAAAGCACCCTGCCTGACACTGTGGCTTGGAAAACTGGCTGCAAGACACATGGAGTCCCAAGGTACCTAGAAACACACAGTAATGACTGCAGCAGTCCCAAAAGCCCAGCTGAGTTCAGTGGAGTTATACATGATGCAGGCTAGAACTCGTTCCAAAGTGTTTTCAGGTAATGGCTCCAAAATCTAGAGGTTGCTACCAAGGATGTGACCCCAGGCTCTTTAAAGTCAAGAGTCTTTTTTCACCAACTTTAAAGGATCTTTGATCAAACCCTACTGGGCAAAGAGCACCCATGTAAGTAGGAACCCAATCCTGCAACATTTACACTGTCAAAGCTGTGAAGCCCTAACACACTCTGTGAGCCATGTTTACCCTCAATTCCTGCATATTGCTTCATTATTTACCAACTCAAAGAACCAAACGAGAGACAACCATACCTTTTGCTTATCTCCTATTCTGAGCCATTCCATGTGGATGCAAAGAACTACTGCAGATCAGAACCTGTCACTAGCTTCTTTTTTTGAGATAGCTTTTTGCACGTTTTGATAAGCTTATAGAAGGCCTGGCAAATATATAAGCTGTCCAGTGAGTTGTACAAACGTGGCAGAGAGGAGAAGCTAAATGAGAAATGCCAAGAGTGAAAATAGTTTGAATCACAACCTAATTATCTCCACAGTTCCAGTCGTCATGACAATTTGGCAATTTTTTGCCAGAGTCCTTTTCTTGGAATTTGCATATGAATCAAATGAGATCCTATGTCCGGAGCTGGAGGCAGCCAGCCATCTTCCCAACGCTCTTCCCACCCACACCTCATCACAGATAAAGCTCATTAATAGCCATGTCTCTTATCATCACTTTTTATACAGATTTCAGTGGCAAACTAACTAAGGAAGACAGCTCTGGCAGGTGGACAGAGCATCAGGTGATGGGTCAGGAAACTTCTCCCCACTGCTGTCACTGACTTATTGTGTGACCTCATTTCCACTCTCTCTGCCTCTGCACAGTGGGAGTTAATGCTTTTGACCTCAGCAACAGGTTAGAAGACATCAGCAGTCCCACTTTAATGTCATTAACTTGTTCTGTTACTCCTGGTGAGGCAAAAAGCAGCATTAGACTAGTCTGTGGATCTTGCGTGTTGCCTTTCATTTGCCTTTTTTATATTCTACCCTCGTCTTTGGAGAACACAACAGGTACACTGAATGGAGTCAACAGAATAGTCTCCTTCCCCCACACTCATGACCTACTATCTCTTTCCCATATAACATCACACCAGAAGTTGCAATATTTAACAAATGTCCTACCTTTGGTAAACTAGTTGTCAAAGTCTGGCCCCATGACAGATGTTTCAGCTCCTTGATCTTGCTCACACTGGTAGAAAGACAACTGCACACCTCTGTTTCTTGTTTAACTTTCTGTATTGCTCCTGCTTACCTGGATCCACGTGCAGCCACTCTTCAGCCAGAAGGTCTGTAGAAGCAATAGGGCTGCACTTCTCTTAAATCTTACCCTAAGATAAATGTCACAACCAGTTCCAGGGTCTCTCAGCACAAGCTTGTCATCCTTCTTGGGCAGCTCCATAAAAAGGTCATCATTAGCTGCATCTCAAAGAGGTTCCATCCGTTTCGAAATGCGTTAGCCTTCCTGGATTTAATTTTCAGACTTGCTGATCTCCCACCTGTAGCACTGAACTTACTCAGCTATGTGTCAGTACCAACCTACAGGTAGTCAAGGACCTGATGTTCATTCAGCAACACATTAGTGTTTTTCAGGTCATGAGGTTCGTAGTCTTGCATATGGTAAAAACAGAAAGGGCAGTTGGCTAGCTACCATTCTTCCACATACACAATACAGAAAAACTACTACAGAATTTTGCACCAAGGCCATAACTTTAACTCTGGTTTTTGCGTAGTTCTCTTAAAACAACACAGAGTCTGGACTTAAGGACTTCTGTAAGGTGAATTTGCATTGCATCTTACAGTTAAAACTGTTGTACTGACCGCTTCTCTCCTTTCTGGTATTAAACAACAACTTTCCCCCTTTGCTTTCCCAACACCGTAACTAACTGAGAGAAATGAGGAAGCTGTTGTCACGTTAACAGTACATTTTGGTCCAAATCCTTCTGATTGTGCTGATATAGGTCCTTCTCTTGGTTTGCAGCCAGAGGGTCTGTAGAAGCAATAGGGCTGCATTTCTCTTAAATCTTACCCAAAGATAAATGAGTACACTGTGGTCACAACCAGAATCATTTCCAAATAGCTAAGTCACCAGCTATTATTCACTTTTGGCTGGGTAGGATTCCCACTAATGAAAACATGGAAAAAGTAAGGCAATCCAGTACTTAAGGCAAACTGGCATACTTTTGAAAGGCAGGTATTACAAATTCTGGATCAGTGTATTTAATACCTAATTTAATACACCGATACAGAATTTGTAATACCTGCCCTTCAAAAGGTAAGATTATCCTGGATTTGCAAGACTAGCACTGATAATATTCATCTCTATACTACAAGAGCCAACTCTTCAGAAAGGGCACAACACCTGAATAAAAAACCTGGGAGAATGGAAAAACAGAGTAAAATATCATGGAGCATTAGAACCAGATCCTCACTTCAGTACAGTACCCTGGGACATGGGCTCTGTACAGTTAGACTTGCAAGGCTACTGCTGTTTCTGGTCGGGGCAATGGACAAGCTGCTACCCTACAGTATTTGTACCAAGTGGATTTATGCTGCACACAGACCTCAGGACTGCTTCTGGTTAATGTAATGATTTTTTTCCCTTTTTACATCAGTTCAAAGAAACGTTATCAGTATGGCAAGTTATACAAGACCTACTGAAGTATGAGAGGCACCCCTCAGGGACTCAGCAGGGGCACAAAAATGCCTGGCTCAGATCACACTCTGCATTGGCTCCAATGAAAAAGTTAGTCAAAGAAAGAAGCAACAAAGTGGGAAGAAATACCACATGCCAGGATACTGAAGTCAGAAGTCTTTTATTAGTATTGTTAACATTAAGATAAATGAACCCAGGGGACAGGGTCAGGCACGCAGTTTCCCACTGCCATCAGGGAAGAGAGAAACATGCAGGGTGCCAAATACCTGAATGTGCAACTGAAACCTAACAAAAAACAAGAAGATGTTTGTGCTGAAGCAGCAAGGAGTAAATTCACACTTAAAAGCACTCCTGAGGCAGAAGTAAGTTATGTCACAAAGACTCCTATGGGCCAAAGTGCAATTAAATCAATCGGACCCAGACCCATCCAGCCCATGGTCTGAGTAAATAAGGGAGCCCTTAATGCTCTTAACTGGTTATTCTCCCATTCATTCCTGCCTGAAGCTAGCAGATATGTTATGCTGCCTTTACACTGCCTGGCAGGGCACTCGTTTTTTCTTGGTTATTCACTTTTTGCACAAAGATCAATCCCCTTAATCATTTAAATCTGTTCAGTTTTGATTACAGGAGCACCAGGAAAAGAGAAAACAAGAAATTATCCTGTCACATCTAATGAACAGAGAAAACCACACATCACATGGGCTGTAACAGGAGCGCTCCTCTCTTCAGCATCGAGAAAGAGCAGCCACTGCATCAATTTAAAGAATTACAATCATTTTTGTCAATAATACTGGAAACCATATAATGCAACAGAGCCAGGAATACTTTTGCCTATGAGGATGAGCACGAGTGCTACAGAAAAAAACAAAAGCCGAAGCAGGCTTGACAGGAAGGCTGTATCCAGAAAACAGCTCCATTCTGCAGTACTATCTGGAGCACTGCCTCTCATTAATAAGCAGTGGCTGCATAAAAATGAACCAAAAATTAATGTACCAGATGTGTTTGGAGAGCAAAGCATTTGGTCCATTTTTATGTATTGTTATAGTTTAGGGAAGACTAAGCACTGTAATATTGCTTATGTGCTGAAGAGGGTTGCAAATCACAGAGGTAGGTACTGTATAATGGGGAAGATAAGAAAAAACATGCTGGCTTTTATTTAGCTATTTACTTCAATCACTTAGGAGGGCTGCTCTGATCCAAGACAATTACCCTGGAAAAGAAAGAATAAGGTTAAAAAAATGAGTTTAACACACATGCGCATACAGACACACAAAGCTCATCGGGAGTCATGGCAAATGAGGTTTCATAGCACTGTCTCTGGCTCCTGAACCAAAGTTGGCAGAGTGAGAGAACGCACAGGCTCTCTCATTTCTGCAAAAGCCCCAGTTTCTACAGATTTTAACTTGGGACAGAAGTTAAGGAGAATACATGAACCCCCAAACCATGGTAGGCCTTTTCACTGCCATTTACTTTTAAACTAAATGTCACGCTGAGCTAGGTCTTTGTCTTTCTTTTTACTTAGCCTGAGAAAGCTTAATGTGAATTTTGGAGTACTCATCGGTGGCACCACCAGAACAAACTTTCACATGTACAAAGATCTAAAAGAGGTTCACCTGACTGGAGAAGTCCAAGGCAGCCGCTGCAGTAACTTGGGTTTCTGATCCTCGAGATTTGTAGCTGGAAACGAAATAAATCCAGTACAGAAGTGATAA